ACGGCTAACCAAAATTAGTACTGTATTTGGAAATGGTCAGGTAATTTTACGAAACACGTCCCTGCGTGAAATGTATCTTTAACATTATCTTTATGAATATTCATGTAAGCCAGGATAAAACGACAACCATTTTCCGGCAAATTTTCGGTTTATCTCCAATATCCAAAAACTAATTAAATCGTTTCTAATTTTAAAGTTGCTTTTGTTAATCCCAAACTTATACAATTGTGTGATAATTTAAACCAAACCTTTATCAGCAAAATTATTTACTTTGCAGTAAAAATTAGGCGTTAGACGTGATAGTTTTTGTTAAATCGATAAGTTTCCTCAAATTTTATTATTTTGAGCTAACGGCTACCTAAAAAATGTGTTGGGTGAATACAAAAGCTTCTTACCTTGTTCTGGAAATGTTTGAGGAGGTTTTGGAATATAAATAGGTTCTGGATAGTGATATCCGCCATCGTTGTTTTGTACTAAATTCGGAACAAAAGCCGGAGGACCATAAACGGTGCTAGGTGGTGGAAAGTAAACAGAATTAAAATCTTCTTTGGCTTCGTTGATAATGAGGCTTTTATGGTCAAACTGCCATTTCTGGATCAGTTGGAAGATCAGCTCGCTGCAAAGCAATTATTTATTAATGTACCCAGAACGCAACATAATATGCCGAAACCCACCTTGGATAACGATCTGGATATTCGCAATACGTTAATCCTGGTCTCGCGCAAGGAGGAGTTTTTCCAGGCGGTGCTGGAACGAACGAGCAAGTCGGATTTGGACCATATTCAGGTTTGCATAACGAAGTACATTCTAGAATCCAGTTTATAAATATCCATAACTGAAAAATATTGCGCTTATTAGAAAACGTTTATGGAAAACAGGAAGGCAAATAGAAGCGAAAAATCGATCAATTTTTTGCATTTGCATTGACGATTGATTAAGTTCAAATTAATTTCGCAATTTAAATAATTCCAGTATATTTTCGGTTTGTTATCTAAATCACGTATGGTTATTAAGGTATTTCTATTAATCATTAGTGACAAACCTAGAAGAAAAAAGCTCGAATCGTCGAAACAATGAGAGCTGATAAATATAAATCTTTTTCGGCAAGTGTAGCTTAAGAAAATGTAATTTTATCACATTATAAAATGTCGCTTTTACGTCGATCGTAACCTGGTTTATTTTTTTGTTTGCTTGTTCAACTGATTAAAACTAAAGTTTATGAAGAATGCAGAACGGAAAAACTTTTAGGTCGAACCCAAAAGTTTCTTCTACAACAAAGCTTTTAGTCGAAAGATGGTAGCAATTGTTCTAAGAAAGCAGGTATAAAAATCGAACACTTTCAGAAACAGTTTCTTTTCAAACTAAATACAATTTATATAAAAATGCGGATGTATTGAGTGACCAGTGTTCACTCAATAGCTGTGTGTTATCACATTAATTGGAGTTTAAAAGTAAATTATTAACGTCCAATATAGTTGCTTTCGAAATCGGCTTCCTCTGCTTTTAATATTTTTTGTTTATACTATAATGTCAGGAGATTTTCTCACATTATTGACCACCCTGTACAAAAACTAGCAAGGGAATCAATTGTGAGCGCGGGTCAAACAAAATGTAGTTAAACTATAAAAAATGAAAAGCTTTCTGCATCAGCAGAGCCGATATAAGCTTTTAAAATAGGCAAATTCAGATTTCGAAATGCGCCAACCTCAGGCACCCCAGGACCGGTTTCGAGCCTATTAGCTCTCATCATCTGGGTTCAGCCTTAAATTAGCGATTCCAATACCTGCACTTTGCAATGCCAATGTATTCACATCGGCAAAGAAACTAGTTTTTTTCAGCTATTTTCAGCATATTTCAAAATCCACTTAAGTTTTTCTTCGTATTAATGCCGCGAGCAAAAGAAAGCATTTACAAATCAGCATACGGCTTGAATCTCGATCTGCCATTCCAGCGGACTATACTCAACACATCCAGTATCTAAATTTGAAATTTTCATAAAAATCGCGTAAAAAACGAATCAAATAGTCTTCAAAATCAAGATGTGTATTCCGTCCCTCTTGATGATATCACTCAAGGAGCCTTGATAAATAATGCTTGGCTAGAATATGATCATTCTTTTAGTCAACCTTTTGACAAAATATCAATCTGTTGAGGCTCAGAAAATCATGAAAATTCGAGAAAAAGCTGATCTGCGAGCTCATATGAAGTCAAGTTAACTATTCCGGCCCTGTTATTGGTGCGAGAAACGAGAAACATTCCCAAATCATGACCTGGACGGAATGTGGATCTGCCATTTATTTATTGTTTTAACTGCATGTCAAGCTATAAAAGTCCAAAGTTTTATCGACCGAAATTTATCTACCGAAAGATTCATAGATGAGCACCTGTCGAAATCAAGTTAGATATTCCGTAGAGCATTGATAAATTGATAAGAAGCATTGATAAATTGAATGTGAGTCAGTTAGCAAGCCTTTACACAAAATATCAAGCCCCAATTACTCAAAATTGTATAAAAATTAATAAATGCTTCGATAGCTAACATTTAATTTAGTATAAAGAGAGGTATAATGTGCCTGATTTGTTTATCTTTGGCTGAGAAAGCGGGTTTGTTTACGTTATTTTTCCAAACGAGATTGAACGTGAAACTTGTCTTTGTGAATATTGCCGTGTGAAAAGGTATTTTCTACCAAATTATCAATAGTAAAAAAAGGGAAATTGAACTTCAAAGTAAGCAATTCAATGACTCATACAAAGGGCGATCAAGTAAATGGTTATCGCATCATGTTGGTTCTGGAGTTCGGTTTCTACGGACTGCGGTGAAACTTCGATATCACACGAGTTTTCTGGAAAAAGGGGCTGAAAATTCGGTTTTTTTATTTTAAATTTACASGCAATGAACGAAATTGGTCGCTAGCCCTTTGTGTCGTGTGAATCGCGTTCTTAGMTGGAAAATATGGAATCCTTAAAGAACCTTAAATAATTGACACCCTTAAAGAAAATGTATAATCGGAATTGCATCATTGTTCATTTTCATTGTGTGATCAAGTGTAGTGTATGCTTTTGAGGATAACCTAATATGTAGAACATGAAGGATGGAGGCACCAGTTTGCAGAAAGATGGTAAGAATTATTTCTATCTATGAATCCTGTAGTTTGAACTGAGTTTAGTTTTTGGAAACGCAACTGAAGTTTTACGGATTATTTTCATTTATCTTTTTTCGTTTTGCTGATTTTCAATAACGTGGCTTTTGGCAGATTTTCTGCTCTACTAAAGACATTTTCTTTTTTCTTTTCAGGTGGCACAATGCAGCTTCTGGTAAGTTTGGCATTACTTTGCCCCTGGTTGCCATATAAGTTGTAGTATAGTAACTTTTAGTCCCATATTATTGCCTTGTCTTTTATTATATTGTTGCATTTAATATTTCTACGAGGAGGGAGTTTTTGGATTCTGTATTGGGCTTTTGAAGTTTTTTATTTTATTTTCACTCGCAGTTCTCAATGGGAGACACAAGAGAATGTCGTTCTCTTGTGAACTACACATTTATTGTCGTGCAAGGTATGTTTTAAAAATCATTGGGGTTTTTCTGTTACCAATTACATTCGAAACTAAAAGGTTCTTGTATTCTTAATGGCGATTGCTTAGATTTACAAAATTTAACTTTTTTGCTCCCTTTTCCGACGATTTTTGATGGTCAGGGTCACGTAAAGTAGGAGTATTTTGCTGCAAATACAATTTTAATTGTTCTTTTTATTACCGTTTTTCTGTTGTAAATTTCAGTTTTTGCTGTTTTAAAGTTAATAATACCCCCGAATCCAGACTCAAGTGCCTAAAGCGATGTGCATTTTATTTATTTTGTGGATAGCGCCTTAAAAGATTGCAAGTGGTCCTGGTCTTCCATTTGGATTTAAAGATGTTTTTCCAAATTTCACACTGAACAAATTATTTTTGCCAAACGATTCATAATAGGGATTTTTTGAGGCCAGGATTCGTAGGACTAGAGTAATATCTTTGATATTGTGCAACTAATTATAATTAAGCACGTTCCACTGTATCATGTTCCACGTTCATCGCAAAACGCGAGAATGTCGACTTCGCATTTTGTTGCTAATAAATAGGCTAAGTTAAGATTTCAAAAGCAGTTGTTGTTGTACCGAGGTATCTGAAATAAAAATTTTTAAAAACCCTTTTTCTAAAAGGCGTATTTTAACTCTAGTCCATTTTTTGCTGTTCAGCGCCCTTCAGGCTGTATGTGGTCCACATCCAGACTTGCGGCTTCTAAATTTGAGTTACTAAATTGCGTTGAGTTTTTTTTTGAGGAAAAATAGGGTTTATGGGAATTTCAGCGGTCGGGATCCGGACAGCATGTTTGTAGAAGTAGATGGCAACCAGGGTTGTAGTTTTTCTTTGATACCATTTATGCTGCTCGCATGTGCAGATTTCTAGAATTTTATGAAGTGGCTTTCCATTTCGCATTTTGTGAATTTTATAAAGCGGTGTTTTTAAACTAGTGGCGCACTTTATTTCGCATTCCAGGTAAATTGTTGGTCTATTTTAGTACGTTTAATTAGAAACAGGAAGTTCCCAAAGCGCTCGATCGGAAAGGTTTTACTGAAGGTTCATATATTTTTAATGATTTTTTAGATAAGTGTTAAACTTCAAGAGCTCTAAAATCTGATATATTCTAGATTATTTTTTATCTGTTATATTTTCTGTACCTATGGAGTAAATATGGAATGTTCTCCAAGCGTGCCATCGAAAAACGTTCGAATGATTACTTCAACATTTTTTACCGTTTTCCCGATAGAAGTTCTGAAACTTTGGGACCTCGCTACCATTTCATTATTTCTCTCCCAGTCTTTTCAAGGTTAGGAATGTTATATAAATTCCTAGTAGGAAACGAAACTTCCTATGAGGTCCCATCAAAATATTCATATTTCAGCGATTTTTAGGCGCTTGCATGATGTCTCTTTAAAGTTGAGATATCCATAAAGTTTTATACCTCTCTCCGCTCGCTCTTAATTTTGCCATTAGGCTGAATTATAAAAACCAGTTCAGGGAACTCTTCGTACCGAATGTTGTAAAGGTTGCTCTAAAATTTGTAACCGTTTCCGAGAAATAAGCTTTTAAACATCGGCGGTTATATCGGAAATTCACACTGTTTCGCCTACTAGCTTTCTTGTTTTTGCTTCTATCTCTGTTGATAAACAGTTCTCAAGTCACTTTACAACTGTATATTTGTTAGAAGTGTTGTTGCTCATTGAAAGTTATGCCATTTGAAAAGTAATGACTCTTAAGAATTTTAAAAGCGGCTGTATAAAAGATTCACTAGATACTAGGCTCATTTAGGCCGTTTTGATTTTAAAAATACGGGCTTTTTATGTAAATTTTAAAATAAAAGGCACGAAACAGGCAGAGTAAACTTTCTGTTAAGTAAAGATCAGTGCCCGCATCGTGAAAAATGAAGAAAGTAAAGGGCCTGGCCCAAGTGAAATCACAATACGGTTTTCAAAACTGATCAACTTGCACTAATTATGTCTCAAAAAGTACACTACTTATTAGAATAAAACACATATTGAAACTTTAACGTCATGTAGCCTGTTAACAACACGGTTTATCAAGGCATGTTTCTTCTATAAATCACTTAAGATCACGTCCTGAGTGACTTTATGAACCACGCGTTTGCAATGGTTTCAGCTAACATTTCATATTTATAGACAATTGGTAAAGGCATGATGATTATGATATGATGGTGATGACATAAAGGGGTCTTTTTTAGATCCTATGCAAGATTGCTAAATATAAATTATTATAGGTATTTATCACATTCTCAAAATA